GCGTTTCCCCCGCGGCGCCTTGAAGAATGAACGTGATTTTCTGAAACTTGTTTCTGCGTGTTTTCTGAATATCACATATCAGAGCGGCCGTTATTTTGAAAATCAACACCCTCCCCCCCCCCGTCCCTTCCCACACCTTTCTCTCCACCATCCTCCCTCCCCGCCCGCCCCCCCACAATACAAGCGGCGGATGGTGCTAATTTCAAAAACATCATCTCCTCCACGCCGAGTTCAGGAAGTTGATTTATAGACGGTGCTCGTGGAGTTAATTGCAGTGCGCGACACCAATCAGTCTTTGGGAGATTTCTAAGGCAAGCGGGGATTAAATCGACCCCCAGCACAAACAAACAAACAAACAAACAAAAACATATTCATATCTCCCATGATCTATTATCAATGTTTTAGATTGCCGGCCTGCCTCCAAGATGCCCCCTTTTTTCTGCGAAGATTCAATAAGTTTGACAGAAACATTGTCAGCCACCGGGGGTGTCTCTTTATATCGGCGCTGCCCAAACAAATCTGTCTTTGGGAAATGGAAATGTATTGTGTTAACTACGCCCAAGTGAGTTGCAGGCACCCCCACCCTCCTAGCACCCCCCTTGTTGGCACTCGAGAGTTGCTCTCTCAACAAAAATGATCATCGTTGTGTTCGGAAGCATTCACTCTGGATTATAGAGACAGAAATGCTTTGATAATGATCTGCAGGGAGGACGGTCGTTCAGAAGTTTGTCAAAAAACACTAAATGTCAAATCCCCGGCGGTGGTATCTAACATATCTGGTGGGTTGTGACAACAGGCTGTCATGCCACACACACACACACACACACACACAACACCAACAATTAAACACAAACAACACACACACACACACACACACACACACACAACACATTTAAACACACACACATCCTCCTCCCCTCCCAGAACTTGGCCCAATGAAGACGTATGCCTCTTATTGCCTCCCATGCCTCCTCACTGCTAATTGCCACTGAGAGAGATGGGGGAGTCGTGGAGAGCCGCAGCTTGCAGACAACAACAGCAAGCAGTGTGTGTGTGTGTGTGAAGTCGTCTGGCAGAACACGTATGTTCAGGGACACAAAAACACTGCAGGAAAATAGAAACAGGATTCGGCGCATTTGTTGCAAAGCTGTCAGAGCTGTTTGTGTGCTAAGTGGTTACGTTTGTTAAATGTATTTCTGTCAAAGTGAGTAAAGAAGTTTTTAGAGGGGCTGAAAAACAATCATTTTGTGATTGATTTAATGATAGCACATGATTTCAGTAAACATTGGATAGTAAATAAAGATGGTTCTGTGCAACTTAAATCTTATTTTCATAGTTGGCACAACTACAGCACGTCAAAGTTGAAGCAAGAAGTTTGTCTGTAAGCTGTAACAGATGTTTTATGATATGTTTTATCTTCCGAATAAGTTTGTGAATCAAATGTCTTGCTCTAGGTAGGGCCACCGTAGTTTCTTCAGTATTCAATTGGTTGTAATCTGTAACTTCACTGCTAAATCCTACCCATTTAATCCTTTAATGATGACCTCATTTTGTACTAGTAAATGTGACATGAAAATAACATCTGATGTGCAAACCAAATAGATTTTTAATTGGATAATAAGGAGGGACCTTCGTGTTGTCTTACATAAGAACACTTGAAATAAAAATGTTTTTAACTGTTTTGTGTGTCTTTGAATTATTTGTCTCCCATATTTGTATCTCATAAAAACTGAGCCTGAAAGTTAATTCTTGAGCATCAATGTTGTAGTTTGACAAAAAAAAAAAACACTCTTACCTGTTTGTTTTTACTTATTTCCATATTTAGGTCACACGACGACAACTGAGCCATTTTTACGACAAGTGGGCAAACTCCAGTTGCTGCTATAGACCATGAGATGTGACTGAAAACTCTAGAAAACACTAGTAAGTGGATTTTTGTACTTTTTACTCTGCAGTATAAATATTTTAGGTCAATCCAACCAACCCCTCCTCATTCAAATCTTATTCACATCCCTCCAGCCACTTATCTTCTAAACTTTTGTTCGCCGCAAAATCCTGCTTCGGGTCAGAACTTAGAGTGAAATGAGTGATGCTACGTGCACCAGTTTTAAATTCTGCCTCTTACTCTAACTGACCTTCAATTTCAATTTGTAATTAGGGTTATCACATAACAGAGAACTAAAAATAAAATTTTAATTTAGTTACGACCTAATGTTATTTTTTGGGGGGTCTTGTACAGTTGATTTCAAGGATGAAGAACATTTGAAATTGTCAATAAGATGTAAAGTCATGAATTTCTGCATCACGACTAACCTGAGAGAAGCAAAAAAGTGACTAAGGGCACAGGTTGATATATTTATACACGTCTGGAGCTCATTCTGTGGTAAAAAATACAACTCAATCACCTTTTGTCTGCCCACAGAATCACTCTCTCACGCACACATCATGTAGCAGCTTTATAATTTAAATGTTAATAACATCACAGGTTTCACTTCTTCAGTGGGTCGCTTTAGGAATAGTCGATCATGCTCACAAATGCCGACTGGCAGGTACTAAACGATGAACGAGTGGAATTCCTCTTTAAAATGCTAATGAGAGCTGAAATCTGTGTGTGTGTGTGAGAGAGATTGAATGAATGCACTTCACAGACAGGCGGCTACTGTATATGCATGAGCGCTTGTGTATGTATTCACAGCTTCTAAATGAACTGCCAGCTTTCAATATTATTACACTGTGACCTTTTAAAGGAACTGACATAATATATAGGATTTTGTTCATTATTGAGGAACTTTGTGCAACACAGGCTGTTATTTTTGACAAGTGAGGTCGCAAGAAAGCTGGGAAGAGAGTCAGTTTGTCTCACATTAGCTCCTGATTGAAGTTTATTATTAAAATCTGCACTTTTTAGTCAATTTCCAGAAGCTTTATGCTATAAGAGTTTCCCGCCCGCCCCTCGTGTTTGTTTTGTCTCTGCATATGGCCGGAGAGTGGCCGCGCCCGCCGCCTGCCGCCCGCCACTGCCGCTGACAGCCTCCCCGGCTTCCCAGAGAGCAGGCAAACATCTTGAGCGGGTACAAACGTGGACCGACCCTCCCTTTGGCTGACGTCCAAACTCCGTCTCGCGTCTTCTGGGAGAACAAGAGGAGAAATGGAACAACTGGTTTTAATGAAACAATTACAAGACACTAATTATTATGTTAATGTTTTGCTACTATCATCAGCCACCGCTAACAGCCTACTGCACCTAGAGGTTCAGAGCCTGCCGTGTGTGTGTGTGTGTG